TTATGTTTATATTGTTCTTCTTTTTTCCTCTTTGTTGGCTTCAAACATTTATTAATTTTTTAAAATTAAAATCAAAACCAAAACATCTGCGATCCTTTCATCAACATCCTTTTCTTTCTTTTTTCACCCTTCTTTTTTCTTTTTCCTTTCCTCCCGTTCCTTCTGGTGCAAACGGTGATTGGACAGCCGCAGTGCCTGCGTGATGACGTCGGCTGCGCGGCGTGCGGAGGACCTTGTAGCCTCTCCGGCCCCCGCCCCCGCCCCTCTCCAGTCCGGAGAGACACAAGTTATCAGGGAGGCAGCCGAAGGGCCGGTGATCATCTTTTTTCTGCACCCGCCGCCGTCCCCTCCATCCCTCCTGTATGGTGGATATTATTTTCAGCTCTTCTTTCTTGGGTGATATGGGGGATCATTCCAAAAGTAAGTATGGACGCGCGCCAGGAGAGCTCGGGGCAGATTTAGTGTCGGACCGCAGTGGGCTCTAAGGGAGAGGCTGCAGGGTGGGATAAAATCTGCTTTTTATCAAACAATATGATGCGCTGGATCGTCCAGGATGTCAAAGACACTCACGTGAAACCGACGCGTGGATTTATTGACCAAAGTCAGAAATAGTTACATAACAGGGTCGTTCTGTCTGAGTGGGGAAAAGGGAGAGAAAGCAGTGAAAAAAAGGGCAGGCGGGGGTTGTAAGAAAAACAACAACAACAACAGCTGTTTGTTGTTTTTATTTATTTTTAACACTTATTAAAGCTGCGCGTTTTTGTTGTTGCAGAGAAGCCAGGATTCGCCATGTGTGTTGGATGTGGGAGTCAGATCCATGATCAGTACATCCTGAGGGTTTCCCCGGACCTGGAGTGGCACGCAGCCTGCCTGAAGTGCGCCGAGTGCAGCCAGTACCTGGATGAGACCTGCACTTGTTTCGTCCGGGACGGGAAAACCTACTGCAAGAGAGATTATGTAAGGTGAGGAGTTGGGCGCACATTTCATCCTCATCAGACATATAAATTTAAAAAAAGCGTTTCTGCAAAAATAAAAAGCAAAGAATAAAGAAAAAAACACTGATTTATTATAAAATATTAAGAGCTTCTTTGTATTTATAAAAGCCAGTTTTATTTTCTGTATAATCAGTCCCTTCCCCCTCCTTGCAGAGGTTAAACTTCCTGAATGATTTTTTGTTTCTGTTCGTCTGCTTCCAGGCTGTTTGGAATCAAATGCGCCAAATGCAACCTGGTGTTCAGCAGCAGCGACTTCGTGATGAGAGCTCGGAATAACGTGTACCACATCGAGTGCTTCCGGTGCTCGGTGTGCAGCCGGCAGCTGCTGCAGGGGGACGAGTTCTCGCTGCGGGAGGAGGAGCTGCTGTGCCGGGCCGACCACTGCCTGCTGATGGAGAGGAGCTCCGCGGGGAGCCCCGTGAGCCCCGGACACCTGCATCCCAACAGAGCGCTGCACCTGGCAGGTC